CTTTCCCTAAACCATATTTTTTCAGTCACATCTAAATACCTAATCCCCTAACTGCGCCTTTAATTTCTTCAACTTCGCTGCTTTGCGAAGGCCATCTCAACTGCCTGAAAAGCCCTTCTTCCACTTGTTTGACAAAATTCTACTCCTCTTTCAAAGACTATTGACTGTACTTAAAAATGAGTGCCCTCTATGTGTCCTCAGTACTGGCTAGGAAGCCTCTCTGACCCTCCTCAGTCCATACTAATTGCCCCACAGTTCAGCGCTTGGGCCTCGATTATAATATATAATCCAGAATAATTTAAAAACTCTATCTGTAATGTTCTTTACAGTTTGTAAAATGTTTTCCCAACTCCATTATTCCACTTAACCTTCATGTCAACACTGTGAAGTAAGTATTCTTAACCCCATTTTACAGATTAAGCTGGGAAGTTCAGGGAAATTAAGCATTTAGCACTGAATTACACTCTACAGATGCTGTGTCAGGGCCGAGCATCTGAGCTCCAAGCCCAGCTCTGCCACCTTACCTCTTCCTCTTCCTCCTCACCCTCTCTGTCAATGATTTGAAGCAGCCGTTTTTTGTCATCATCTGCTTCTTCTACTACAGTCATTTCCTCCTCCCGAAAGCGGCCACGCTCTCGAGTTCCAGCTTGTCTCCGACGCATCTTCAGCTCTTCCTCTTCATCATCCCGGGGACGTTTTGTGCCCCTGTTGGGCTAAGAAAGAGAAAAAAGAAACACAGGATTTTAGAGCTGGAAAATATGTATAAGGGCATACATACCAAGCATTCTAAAAGTTTTTGGAATTCCCTGACTGAAAAACACCAGAGCATACAATTTCTCCCACAGAATGAAGTAAAGCTCTAAGTGGTTATTTTTCAGACCTGCAACGATTCTATAAATACATGATTACAGTCACCTACAAGGTAGCTGGTTTTTGTTACAAGTATTTTTCAATATGCAAAGCTTAGCACTTCACAAAAGTTCCTGTATATACAGAAATCACGGGGAACAAGGCTACTTTGAGAAGGGAATGCTGGGTTAAGCTCAATTTACTAGTTAGGATTCAGTCCCCAACACCAATCCCTTAGTACCTGGTTTTAATTCAGATTTTAAAAAGATTATAGTCACTCACAAGTAATTCAAACAGAGAATATTACATACACAACTTCCAAGGGTCTACAACATTCTAAATTCCTACTTTACAGCAGAGTAGAATAAGGCCCAGAGGTCAAGTATTACCCAAGGTCACAAAGCCAGGAGCAGCACTGAAAATAGAACGGCACTTCCTGACTCCTAGTCCCGGGCTTTTCCCACCGCACTGTTAGGGTCTCATTCTCCCTCTGACAGTGCAATCCATGGAGGAGTTTTTACAATTGCTTGCCATTCAGCTGGAATAAAACAGGGCACTACTGAAATGGGCCTCAGAAGTGAGGAAAAAGAGCACCGCACTAGATATCAAACAGCCCAATATCTCCATTCAGCTCGAGTTACTACTGTGCAACTTTGGGCACATCATTTAACCTCTCTAAGCCTTACTTTCCTCATCTGCAAGTGGAGATTATCACCCTTTTCTCCCTGTGAACTTCAGAAAAGATGTTTTTGTGTGTATCTTTTTTCAGCTTTATTGGGATATAACTGACATATAACTTGTGCAAGTTTAAGGTGTACAACATGATGATTTGATTCATATATATTTTGTGAAATGATACCACAATAAGGTTAGTTAATACCTCTATCACCTCACATAATTACCTTTCCCCACCACCACCGATGGTGAGAACATTTCATATCTCAGCAACTTTCAAGTATACGATACAGTATTATTAACTACAGTCACTCTGCTATACATTAGGTCCCCAGAACTTATTTACCTTATAACTGGAAGCTTGTACCAAACGGTGGCAAACTGTAGTGAAAGAACACTAAACTATAACGATACTAAACAAATATATAAAATTATTACTGTGAGTTAATTAATCCAAATGATTCTGTCTTCCCCAACACAAAACATTTGTGTTAGGCTCTTCAACGAGCTTTTCTTTATCTGTTACAATAACTGCACACACCAACAGTGTGCTAGGTGCAATGTGGTATGTTACTACCAAAGTGAAGAAAATGCTACATTCACTGCCAGCCTGCTAAGTTGCTTTTGGTGATAACAGACAAATTTCTATTACACATGATACACATCTCACCCTGTGACTTATAACCCACACTGTTACTGAACTCTGCTACCCGAGTGGTACAAAGGCATTCCCCTCTATATTCATGTACCCTGCTGATTCCACATACCAGATGCTTCAGTAAGTCTAAGCATATGACATTGCTTAGAAAACTCACATTAGACAATTCGGTTTGTGGGGTACCACCTGCTATTTTTCACTCTGTTCCTGAGTCTCCCTGGGATGGATTATAATTTCATATGATCACACTCTATTTCCATAAATATAAAAATTACAAAAATCTGTTGTCATCATTACTACTCTACACGTCAAAAAAAAGAAGAAAAAGGAAATCAACATGCCAGTAACCAAAGAGTACAAAAAAAGGAGGTGGTGGTTTTCATGTGAGGAGAAGGAGGTAGCTTGCTCCTAAAGGAGGGCAGGCTTCAAACTAGGTAGCTCCACAGCAGGTAAGGAACTTCAGCCCTCTGGGAGCACTAATTCTTTCAGGCTCCTAAAACAAGCCCTGCTGTGGTTCTGATTAGTGTGAGCCTACTGCAGCAGCCAAATCAAAGCGTGAGCTCCACAGTCCTCCACGGAGAGGAGATTTCTGGACTGTTTATCTCAGCGCAGAGAGAAAAGGCAGTGGACCACAATTAAAAGGAGAAAGCTAAATACTGCCACAGTTAAGAAATGCAAAAAAAAGAACAATGGCAATGTCTCTTTTGAACACATCTTCCAATCCACTTCTGTAAAACAAACATTTCAGAGGTCCGGGAGGAGTTTCATTTTTACCACTAATAATTTCCACTGAAATAGCACTTTCCTTCTGCAGAACTTAAAGCACTCCTTTTAATCTTCACCCCATCTCCGGGGATGAGAAGTAGTTAACAGTTCTATTTTATAAGCAGGGAGACAGGATGCCTGAGATCCTTTAATAAACTCTTGCAAAGACAACCTGGTGCCTTCTAAAAGTTGAAACTGATCTCTGGGAAGTTTGCCAGTTTCCATGATTCCAGGACAGAAGCTGAGACAGATGTGAGGGACTTTCAGGCAAGAACATATACCCATAAACATAAGTCATACAAGATGTTAGCCAAGTTAAAATAATATTTGTTAAACCATTCATTCAACAAATAATTTATTAAAGAATTCCAAGGCTTGAAGGATCCTCAAGTAATCACCCTGGCCTAGTACCAGTCCCAGGCTTCCATTAGGGTAATGTCTAAATAGGGACACAGGGATAGACAGGGGTAGAACGGATTCTTGAGACAAGAATAGCTTCGCTAATCTTTTTTTTTTTTTTTTTTTAAAAAAACACATTT